GAAGTTTTCATGAGAATAACCCGGAAGAAATGACGCTTTAGGGGCATGTAGCCCAAATGGTGCGGAAGTAGCATTCCGCAGTAGCGACTCATCGGTTGAAAGACGGCTGGCTAGTAGTTGATGAGAATGGGAGCAGGAATTGTTATGAGACAGATGCTTTAGTAAGGAATCAATGACATTGTGGGCTGTGTATGAATTTATAAGTATGTTGGTCCTCAATGGTTTACATGCGTGCACGAGCATTGATTACCTCAACCTCCACACGAAAACCACCACCACCATCGTCCCAAACCATCGTCGGAGACGGCGACGGCGATGGCGACGACGACCTCATTTCGAACGCCAGACGGTTCCCTTTTTTCTGGCAGTCCGCGAGGCCTCTCAGATCGTTTTCGTGTTCGAGGAGGATCGTACGCGAACATGAACGTACGCTACGTTGCGCCTTTACAGAAACCTCGTTTTTCACTTGAAGAGAGGTGAGAAGCATTCAATTGGCAATGTTTTCCGACTATGCTGTGGGCTGGTCAATGCGTGCCATCTGCTTAGATTATTAATTTCACATTTATATGCAAAAACTTCTACTTTGAAGTTTCTTGTGAAACGAAACGTCCGACATTTGTATATATGAACTTATGCGATGAAAGCATGCATCAGTTTGTTATGCTTTTGGGGTGTCGTGCCAAAATCATCTGAAATTCAAATTTTTGTCGATTTTCAAAGGGAGCCAGTGCGAATACTGATTGATTCTTAGAACAATGCTTACAGGGCCTATGATAGTAAAATATTGATCAAAAAATCTATAATGACATTGAGCTGAAGTCTTTCACAGATGGAAGCACCGGAAGGCAATGCTTGGCAAGCCCGCCCAAAAAAGTAGGAGTCTTCGTCCGCGCGCGGACGCGCTGCTTCCGCAACTATGTGGATCAATATCGGAGCACATTTTAGGACGATAATGAAAAACGAATGATTCAAACGAGGGAAAAGAAAAGTAGGTAATTAATAAATTCACGATTTTGTGACACAGTTTGTACCAGTCACAGCCCCAAAAATCTAAAAGGGCAAGGCACATATATTGCAATGGCGCGAGCAATCGTGTGGACGGCAGCTGTTGTCGCCTTTGTAGCCACGTCACAATGATTCCTCCTATGTTTTACGGCTTAGGTAATAGATCGAATAAGTCTAGCTCAACCAGCTCAATCCATATCTCGTACATTTGGAGGCAACCGAAGTGGCATGATTATTCATGATTCGAGGCCAATCAATACAGAAATTAATTGATCACCTGTAATCTAATATGACTGCAATAAGTCGAAACTGATAAGGAGAACGATGAATAAGCAGTAATAAGAATTGAGCCGAAACAGGCTCAACGTCATCAAAGCGGATGGCCAATTGAAGTGGGCGTGTCTGACGCAAAGCAGTAGCAGAGAGGAATCAAGTTCAGTGGGGAAGATTTCGGATGACAACTTTGTAGCATTACTAGTTGATCGATTTCTCATGAGGTACTATTTCTAGCCATTGACAATCTCAACCAATGTTTGCCTCAACTGATATTATTTTTTAACAAGCATGACAGAAAAGTTAATTTCTTGTCGATGTTGTGATCGTTTCAATCGAAAGCATGGATGGACGGACGAAAGCAGTAATATGAATTAGTAGGTTTGAGTATAATTACGAATATGGTACTTGTACCATAAATCATTGAATAGAACTTCGAAGAATAGGGTCCAAAGTACAAAAACCAGCAGAAAAGCCAAGGAACACAGAGCCATATTTGTGCTGATATACATACTAGATCCTTCACGTCTCCGACATTCTGCTCCACATTTATAGGTCCTCCCTTTTATCGATTCATCTGTAATTCAAAGTAGCCATATTCAAGACG